GTCAACAAAGTGAAATGAGCTCACATGCAGAGTTTAGGTGGTCTCTTCGAGTTCAGATGTTTCATCCACGTTCTTCTTAATTCTTCATCTGTAGGTAGGAGATGAAACTAAACGTGTTTTCACAGGAACTCTTTGTTTTGGTCCGTGTTCAAACTCTGTTGTTGGAGCCACTGATTTAGTTTGGTCTGGTTGTTCTGCAGCCCTGAACACAACAGGTACCTGAACTCAGCACGGCTCTTTTAGTAAACTTTATGGTTGTTAAATAAATGTGAACAAAACTAAAACAGAGTTTTATCTGTTAAACTGAATGTAAATTACTTTCAGATAAACAGTGGTCCGTGCTTCGTTAGTTAACCAACGCTGACTGCTACTTCCTGTCTGACAGGAAGTTGTACCCAGAATCATTTCTACATTAGAGCCCCCAGGAACAAGGTGGATAGAAAAGTTTAATAATCCGAGTCCTTCAGGAGATTAATCTGCACAAACGGAGCATCTCATGCAGGTCGAGCTCTGAACTGAAGGAGCTCCGTGATGAAGAGAAACGTCTTCAGAAGTTGTTTTTTTAACTCCTGGAGGTGAAACAAGGTTTTTATCCCAAACTGTTTAAGAAGGAAGGCGTAAGAAAATATGAAGTATTTTAATTTATTTACACTGAACTGTTTGGTTCTTTACATATCTGCGTCCGACTCTCTGAGGAGAAACCTGCAAATGTGTTAGAGGAGAATCCAGAAAGTTCTGCTTGATCAGGTTTTTAGTTTTGGCTCCTTGTGAAAGAGTTGGAGCTTAGAGAACGTTTCTGTCAGTTTGTGGCAACAGAAAAAAAATATTTTTTTAAATTTGTTCTCGTGAGCCTCGTCCCTCCCCCCCCCCCCCCCCACACACACACACAGACTGTCCTCGTCCATCCTGCTTTATTTATTTACTGATGGCAGGACTGCTGTACATAAAGTGGAGCATTTTATTTTCGGTTTAAAATAAAAAGTTTAATTTGGTCTTGGTCATCCAGGAATGTAAACATCTGGACAGGAAGTTGGTAATCCAGCTCCAAATCTGCTTTCTGTGTTTTACACAAGTTTTTTATGAACCAAGGTAAAATCTCTTTATTATAATTTATTCTAAATGATGTTTTTAGAAACGTCTGAAGATCAGCGGGGTGTTGTACGTCTGTAAGGTACTCGTCCAGAACCGCATAGTTCTTCTCCCCAGAGAGCATGAGTCATCGGTGACCTCTGACCTCCAGCGACTCGGGTTTCAGCCAACCCGTCTAAGACGACCCGAAATCACAAACGCAGCTTTCACTGCAAACGTTTGACTTTTAGTGCTGATTCATAAACTGAAAACCCCACAAAGATCGTCTCAAACACACTTTGTAAAGAAAAACGAAGTTTAAAGAAGCTGAAGAACTTAAACTCCAACAAGCTCCAGGTCGATTTTACAGAATCGTACCTTTGCAGCTTTGGTCACTTTGAACCCAGACTTCTTCTGGACTCCTTTGATCCACCTCCCTGACCACTCAGTGCAAAAAGACCACTTGAACTCTTTAAACCTTTGCAGCGCGCGGTGCCAGGCCGTATGCGTTCCTACAAATAGAACTTCTCTGAATCAGAGCGTTTGGGACCAAGTGACCGGCGAGTCCTGCAGCCGGGTTTGGAAACTGACGGCCTGTCCTCTGCGCGGTTTGCAGGACTGTACTTTGTTGTCCACCTCCGCACTTCAGTTCATGTTTTCAGCAACGATCGCCACAAAAATCAGTACGAGAGGTCGAAAATCATAAATTCAGTTCAAATCCAATTAAAGCCAAAACAATCGGGTTTCTAAAATGCTAATTAGTAAAAGTGAATTAAGGAAGCAGCAGGTGGTGTTGACTCCACTTCGTCACAATCTCCCATCCTGAGCAGCAGGAAGGCGACGGTGGGAAGGAATGACTCCCTTTGACCTGGAAGAAACCTCCGGCAGAACCAGAACCGATGCTCAGGATGGGGAGCGTCTGCCTCGAGTGGCTGGGGTCGGAGAGGATGGGAAAGAAACGCAAACACAGAATGACTGGTCCAGGTTCTGTGGTCCAGGTGGAGGTTCTGTGGTCCAGGTTCTGTTGTCCAGGTGTGGCTTCTGTGGTCCAGGTGTGGCTTCTGTGGTCCAGG